GGAGCCGAACTAATACCAGAGACAGTGTCGTTTGCTAACTCTAAACAGCAGCCAAGGGAATAGCGGTGAAGTGCTTTGAGATCCTCTGTTGAAATGTGCTGAAGAAGGGCAAAGGGCTGTACCCATTTAGCTGTTACTGCTTATTGCTTTAACTCAAACTTGTTGCTATTGCAGGAGTAATTAACTGTACAACAATTAGGGTTGTGTATGGGTTACAATATTCAGGAGGAAACTGAATTTATGGAATTTTTGAGCACGGCTCCTGAAAGATGCAAGTTGACTCAGCTGCTGTTGAGATCAGAGGCAGATGAAGGGTTCCTTAGGGCAGCTCTGCTCCCTTCCCTACCAGCAGCCTCCGCTCGGCCAGTAGAGAAAGCAGGTGTTGATATTTTATTGTCTCCCACTTAACTCTGGCTAATGAACAGCATGATACCTAGACAGCTAGGTAGGAGAAAAGCCTACGAGATAGCTCCTGATCAAAGTATAAGCTAAAATCTTAAAGGTTGAGGATGGAATAAACAACTTGTAAGGCAAGTTTCCATGGTTATATATAGGCAAATCTGAGTGTTTTCTGTGTATGTTTTGTATGAACTCCGGAAAGGTGCAGTGTTTCTGTAGCTGTCCGGCTGTATCGTAACGGGGTCCGTCTGCACGTGTCCGTGTGGATTGCCTGTGAGTTCATAGCAAGCTCCTAAACCTGCACGTGCTATTGAAGTCGTGTTGTGACCTCAAATAGAAGGACGCTTTGAAACAAAGAACTAGAAGGGGGGAAAAGAGACAGTTTTAAATCTTTTTAATTGTTTTCTTCTGAGCAGAGAAATCCAAAACGTTCCAAGTGATGTTGCCGAGTACTAAAAAAAGACATGATTTCAGCTGACAGCGCAGCATCTCTCTTTACCAGTTTTGTCTAGCCAAACACTTGAGTTTTCTTTTTCTCATTCTGAACAGATTTCAACAGCCCCCACCCTGCCGAACGATCTTGCTATGCAGCTGCAGCCTTTATCGTCTGCTGTACTGCAGAATTATGCATGAACCAGCAGAAGGAGCTCCAAGTCTGGTCATGGGTGCATAGCCGCGTTCTTACGCCTTGGAAAGGCAGCGCCGCAGCTATGTCTAGAAATCATTACTTACCTATCGATTCTTTCCCTTTGCACTTTGAATTCTGTTCGCCAAGCAGCTGAGAATTGCATCGGAAAAGAGCTTTGTTCATTTCTTTCTGTTGAATTGCAGTGGAGTTGTGGCTTTGCATATAAAAAAAAGAATCCCTCAAGAGACAATTTTGCACAACGGCCCCGAGTTCTGATGAGGGAGCGAGCCGCTTGAGAGCAGAATAGACAAATACCAACCTGTCATACTTTTTCCCAGAATTACTCTTTCTCAGGATTTGAAGATGTGCAGATCAGGTGAATCTCCCTCCTCCTCCCCCCGCCCCAATTTCTGTGTTCCACCTTGTCGTGAACGTGGGTATGTCCAAAAAAAAGCCATTCTTGGGGCACCTCAAGCTATTGCAAAGTGCTGCGTCACACTTTCACAAGAAAATGTATTTTTATGGAATTATCAGCCTGACTGGCCAGAGCACAAATGTTTTTGTTTGCCTGCCCACAAACACACGGTAATTATGCACGCTATTGAGATGTGGAGGTTTGATCATTTAGGTCATGGAGGCCATTTGATAAATATGATAAATATGCAAACCTTCAGCTGCTTATTCAAGTAGAACCAGCCAGGAGCTTTTGATGTTCATCCAGCTTCGCTGTTAATGCCGATAGCCTAGAACCTCAAGCAGGGCCACACGTAGGACTTTGAGAATATGGGACTGAGCTGCTTTACTGAGAGAAGTGGCAGTGTGTGCATGGGTACGTTTCAAGCAAGGACAGACATTTTTCAGGCGTTTGGACCAAAAAGGCTATTTTGGGAAAGAACTGAACGGGGTTTGCTAGTGATCTGGCCAGGGGAGTCTGCCTTTTTCTCTTTTGGAGAAGACAGACTATGGATTACATTCTTCGCAGTGTATCTCCATCAGTGTCAGTGGACTTCAACCAGACTGTCCTTTCTCTGCTTCTTCAGCCTTCCAAGTGCATAACATTTTGCTGATCCAGGAGATTTCGTAGCATTTCTGTATCAAGATTAAAATGCATTTCTTCACCCTCCACAAATTGCTTTAGAGACAATAAGGAGCTCAGCCCAGCTCAGCATGGCAGATGGGATGCATCTGCAGCGACAGGATGCAAAAGACATTGGGCCATGTCATTAAAGCAGTGTGGTTTTAAGGTCTTCCAAAGCTAGAAACAATTGCTGTATGTCCCTTAGTAGCAGCTTGAGATTCACAGCTCTTTTGTGTTGTAGAACATTAAGTCAGTAATTGTGGTGGCACAAGGACTATTTGCCTTTGAAGTCATTCCTGGTTCTTTGGGTCTGTTGAAGATCCAAACCACCTCCCAGGCAGAAGAAGATACATTTCCCAGCTCTAGCCAGGTAAACTACCTGTACCAGGTCCTAAAATTCCTCACCAGCCTCTCCTAGGAAAAGTGGCCAAGGCAGTAAAGGCTGGTAGCTGCCAGGAGAATGGCTACACCCTTATATGGGCTCAGGGCTAGAGTTTGCCCTCCAGAGCAGACTCTGCCGTCCGTTACATGCCCAGGTGCTGCCCTGCCTTCCAGCAAGGCGACTCAGAGCAGGACAGTGGTCGAAGAAGGCCTGGAAGAGGTAGGGCAGAGGCGAGCTCAAGCCCATGTTCTACGCTGATGGGACGTCATTGGCTTTAGTGACGTAGTGTGGTAAATTCCAATGAACGGTTGGGGCCTGCCAACAAGGACGGTACAGAATTTGTCTCGGGTATCCTACAACTGACCCTGTCCGGGTTTAACCCCAGGACAGCAAGGGCTCTGGGGCTGCACTCTGCTTTGCAGGCTTTCTGTGGGAGAGAGGAGCTTAAGACAGACAGAGCAGAAAACTTGTTGATGAGTAACTCTATTCCAGCATGCAGATACAAATGCAGAACATCTCCAGGTTGTTCTTTGCAAATAATTTTGAAATATTAACTGTGATGAATTTGTTAAAGGTTAATTATGAATCACGGAGTGTTTTTTGTCCACTGTAAGGAAGGATCTTGGTTACTCCCTACAGTGGACAGAGCGCTGCATGATTCGATGGTATTTGCTGTAAAGAAGGAGAAATCAGTTAGACATAGTCAAGATGATATTTCCGTTTGGTCTGAACCTTTTGAGGATTTTAACAACCCTTGATTTGTAAATTCGATAGCAAGGGGAAGCGAATTAATTCTCTTTCCTAAAGCCATACTAAAGCCTTAGCTTTGTATCTAAAAGAGGTCCTGAATTACAATGCGACAATGTATAAAAGTTGTCTGGTGAGCTCCGTGAGTGCATGCTGTGAGGCTTTTTCCTTCGTCTGTAAGTACCCGACTGTGCAGCCTTCCTGTGCCCGGGCTGGCCGGCGCTGGTCCCGCAAAGCATGTGTTTGTGTGTGGGCAGGAACCGCTAACTGAATGCAAAAGGTCGCATTTCTTTTACACACGTTGCTGTGGTACCTGGGTGCTAATCACCATGTTTTGCCTTCTCTAGCACCTTCCCAGCTGAGGATCTCAAAGTGTTTTACAAACATTAATTAATTTAGCTTCACAACCCTCGTGTGAGGTAGGTGGGTGATGCCATCCCGCTTTCCAGATGAGGACACTGATCTACTTGAGTAGAGTCGCCTTGCTCCGGCCGTTAAAACCAGGGGAGGCAATGGCCTCCAGATGGCCCTTGCGAAGCCTGCTACTCATCATGCGGCCGGGGCTGCCCTCCCGGCAGAAGAAAGAGCAGTTCTGCATGCAGCAGAGGGGATCCAGAGATGGCCAGAGCTTACAGCAACCTGCTTCAGAGCCCTGCTCCTCTCTCCTTCCTGCCCTTCTCTGGAGTTGTGGTTTCCAGCCGATCACGCTACCCTGGGGCTGACGGAGGGGTTATCCCTCGCCAAGGGTGTTGCGGGGAAGGAAGTACAGAAGTAGCTCCATTACTGACCCCTGTAGTGTCTACCCTTTGGTGGTGACTTGCCTCCCTTCTCTTCCGCTTCCGTTCACCCAGAGCCGCCGTTTCGACACCGTCCTTTACAACAGGTTGCGTAGGTCCCAGCTTGCTGAAGCTCCCCCTTTCTGTGGGAAAGCCGTAAGGGCAGCATCCCCTCACCCCATTCCTCTGCAGGAGCTGTTGCTCACCTAGGTGGGAATTATGCATCGACAACCTAAAGTGTAGCCTTGCCAGTCCATCCATTGCTACCAGTTTGAATTGAGCAGAATCAGCCTTTTCTGTGTTGCGTGCAGCCGTTTTTGGCTGAAACCAGACTGGTAAATTTAAAGCGAACCCTATGGAAAAGTCCTACACGCCTTCCTAAAGAAAGTAATGAGTTGCCCTTTGGATAGGCAGAATAGCACTGAAGTGGCGCGGGTCCCTGCAGCGTAGCCCTTCCTCCAGAGCAGCTCTGCTCCGTTCTGGCGCAGGAACCGGTGCCGAGTCGTCCTTGGGGTCACGCTGCTTGGGCTGGGTCACCGGGGCATGTTGGGGCCAAAACGCTTTCCAAGCGTAGCTGGGAGGGAGGGTGAAAATGAGCTTGGAAACAGCAAGTGTTAAATTTGCGAGCGGGTTGAATGGTGAGGTTGTCTGCCTTCGTCTGACCAGACTGATACTGCGTATGGCCTGGCCACGTTTGTGCCTCGTTAGGTCACCCAGGACTTTTCCATGAGGGCAGGCAAAACTCTGCCAATACAAAAGTAATGGATCTTTTCCAAATCTTCAGCTGGTGGTCTAGCGTAGGTAGCCTCTGAGCTGAGAGCTCAGGCAGCTGCTGCGTTCCTCCGTAGATTTGCCATCTCTAGCACATCTCCCTGTTGTTTGGGACCCTGGTTATTAAGTGATAAGAAGCGATAGCATGACGAAGAAAGACTATTGACCCGATTGCACTTTGACTGATCTGTTTCTTTTTCCCCCCAATCATCGATGCAGGTGTGAGCTACTCCAAGTCGGTTCCTCCAGCCTACCCACCACCCCAGGATCCATTAAATCAGGGACAATACATGGTGACAGATGGCATATCCCAGTCCCAGGTCTTCGAGTTCACCGAACCCAGACGCAGCCAGGCCCCGTTCTGGCAAAACTTCAGCAGGTTAACACCATTCAAAAAATAATACCTAGAGAGATGGAGGATCTCAACTTAAAAGAACTAAGCAATTAAAAATAAAAAATAAGCAAAGCTATATTTATAGATGGACCTTTTTTCGGAGAAGCACTGTTGCAACTAAATATATATACATATATATATACA